GCCCCCACCATCCACGTCGAAAACCAATGCCCATCATTGTGTCTGGTGGGCCTGCGCACAGCAGGTCATACGCCACCACTTGACAGTGATCGTGGGGCGGCCGCGCATGATCCAGATTTAGCCGCGAGGTGCATTCTTTATTGTTTGTTTTTCCCAACCCTCCTTGGTTCGGTATTCGTTTTGAATAGAGCACTGCGGTCGCGTCCTTCTCCTCCCGCCTTCCGCCTCCTGCCTCCTGTCTCCCGCGAGACCTCGCCGTCCTTTGGGGGGGCTGCGATCTGCGAAACTGTTGCTACTTTCGAGGGCAGCTGGTGGGTCCAGCGGAGTGAGGCGCCGCGCGGACCTGAGCGGGACCTCCCCGTCCCTGGGGGGCTGCGATCTGCGAACTTGTCGCCATTTTCGAGGGCTGCTGGTGGGTGTTGCAGAGTGAGGCACCGCGCGGACCTGAGCGGGACCTCCCCGTCCCTGAGGGGCTGCGACTTGCGAAACTGTCGCCACTCTCGAGGGCTGCTGTTGGGTCCAGCGGAGTGAGGCACAGCGCGGACCTGAGCGGGACCTCCCCGTCCCTGGGGGGCTGCGATCTGCGAAACTGTCGCCAGTTTCGAGGGCTGCTGATGGGTCCAGCGGAGAGAGGCACCGCGCGGACCTGAGCGGGACCTCTCCGTCCCTGAGGGGCTGCGACCTGCGAAACTGTCGCCACTCTCGAGGGCTGCTATTGGGTTCAGCGGAGTGAGGCACAGCGCGGACCTGAGGGGGACCTCCCCGTCCCTGGGGGGCTGCGATCTGCAAAACTGTCGCCAGTTTCGAGGGCTGCGGGTGGGTCCAGCGGAGAGAGGCACCGCGCGGATCTGAGCGGGACCTCTCCGTCCCTGAGGGGCTGCGATCTGCGAAATTGTCGCCACGTTCGAGGGCTGCTGGTGGGTCCAGCGGAGTGAGGCACCGCGCGGGCCTGAGCGGGACCTCTCCGTCCTTGGGGGGCTGCGACTTGCGAAACAGTTGCCACTTTCGAGGGCTGCGGGTGGGTCCTGCGGAGTGGGGCACAGCGCGGACCTGAGCGGGACCTCCCCGTCCCTGGTGGGCTGTGATCTGCGAAATTGTCGCCATTTTCGAGGGCTGCTGGTGGGTGTTGCAGAGTGAGGCACCGCGCGGACCTGAGCGGGACCTCCCCGTCCCTGAGGGGCTGCGACCTGCGAAACGGTCGCCATTTTCGAGGGCTGCTGGAGGGTCCAGCGGAGTGAGGCACCGCGCGGACCTGAGCGAGACCTCCCCGTCCCTGGGGGGCTGCGATCTGCGAAATTGTCGCCACTTTCGAGGGCTGCTCGTGGGTCCAGCGGAGTGAGGCACCGCGCGGACCTGAGCGGACCTCCCCTTCCCTGGGGGGCTGCGATCTGCGAAATTGTCGCCACTTTCGAGGGCTGCTGGTGGGTCCAGCGCAGTGAGGCACCGCGCGGACCTGAGCGGACCTCCCCGTCCTTGGGGGGCTGCGATCTGCGAAACTGTCGCCAGTTTCGAGGGCTGCTGGTGGGTCCAGCGGAGTGAGGCATCGCGCGGACCTGAGCGGGACCTCCCCGTCACTGGGGGGCTGCGATCTGCGAAACAGTGGCCAGTTTCGAGGGCTGCTGGTGGGCTCGCCACCTTCGAACGCTGCTGGTGGGCCCAGCGGAGTTAGGCACTGCCGAGACCTCAGCGGGACCTCTCCGTCCTTGGCGGTCCACGTCATGTTGTTGCTGCCCCGCAGACGTTTCAAGCTCCTTGCCCACCGTCTCCTTTTGGACCTTGCGCCTTTCTTAGTGCAGGGGTTCACGTAGTTATGCATCGTGTTTCCCTTGATTGGGGCCCTGCGAACCTTCCGAATGCCGCTCGCAGAAGTATATGCGTCCATGTCACGTCGCCGCCTTCTCGTCAAATCTCCCAAGCTACACATGCCCCGCATTGCGCATGGGTTGGGCATGTCGCCAGGATCATTTCTTATCTTGCACAGTTGTGCTCTAGAGCTCGGACCTTTTTATTTTCGCTCGTCGTCGTCCCCCTGGTCCTGTCCTGGCCCTGGACCCAACCTCCCCCCCTGGTCCTGGCCCCAGCCCCCCTCGCCCCGCTGGCCCTGGCCCTGGACCCAGCCTCCCCCCCCCGCCCCTGGCCCCAGTGCCCCTCGCCCTGGACCGTTTATTTTCGTTCGTCGTCGTCCCTGGTCCGGTCCTGGCCCTGGACCCAACCTCCCCCCCTGGTCCTGGCCCCAGCCCCCCTCGCCCCGCTGGCCCTGGCCCTGGACCCAGCCTCCCCCCCCCCCGCCCTGGCCCCAGTGCCCCTCGCCCTGGACCTTTTATTTTCGCTCGTCGTCGTCCCTGGTCCGGTCCTGGCCCTGGACCCAACCTCCCCCCTGGTCCTGGCCCCAGCCCCCCTCGCCCCGCTGGCCCTGGCCCTGGACCCAGCCTCCCCCCCCCGGCCCTGGCCCCAGTCCCCCTCGCCCTGGACCCTTTATTTTCGTTCGTCGTCGTCCCTGGTCCGGTCCTGGCCCTGGACCCAACCTCCCCCCTGGTCCTGGCCCCAGCCCCCCTCGCCCCGCTGGCCCTGGCCCTGGACCCAGCCTCCCCCCCCCCGGCCCTGGCCCCAGCCCCCTCGCCCTGGACCCTTTATTTTCGCTCGTCGTCGTCCCTGGTCCGGTCCTGGCCCTGGACCCAACCTCCCCCCCTGGTCTTGGCCCCAGCCCCCCTCGCCCCGCTGGCCCTGGCCCTGGACCCAGCCTCCCCCCCCCCCCGGCCCTGACCCCAGCCCCCCTCGCCCTGGACTCTTTGTTTTCGTTCGTCGTCGCCTCTCTGGTCCTGCCCTGGACCCAGCCTCCTCCCTCGGCCCTGGCCCCAGCCCCCCTCGCCCTAGCGCCGTCGTCCCCCTGGCTCTGGCCTGCTTTCCCTGGTCCCCTCGCCCCAGTCCTCCTGCCCTGGCCCTGAACCCAGCCTTCCTCCTTGGCTATGGGTCGTCCCCTGTCCCTAGCCCAGCCCCCCTCACCCCGGACTCTTTATTTTCGTGGTTCGTCGTCGTCCCCTTGGCTCTGGCCTGCTTCCCCTGGCCCCCTCGCCCCAGTCCTCCTGCCCTGGCCCTGAACCCAGCCTCCCTCCTTGGCTCTGGCGCCCCCTGGCCCTGGCCCCAGCCCCCCTCGCCCCGGACTCTGTATTTTCAGGATTCGTGGTTTGTCGTCGTTCCCTGGCTGTGGCCCGCTTCCCCTCGCCCCCGTCCCCCTGGCTGTGGCCCGCCCCCCCTCGCCCCCTCGCCCCAACCCTGACCTCTGGCCTCTGGTCCGAGCCCCAGCCCTCTGGCCCTGGCTGAACTCAGCTTGTTTGCTGGCCTTGGCCCCACTCGCCCCGACCCTGGCCTTCGCTCCAGCCCTCCTCGCCCGGGACCGTGTATTTTCGTGGTTCGAACCCGGACCTCTGGCCCCTGGTCCGAGCTTCAGTCCTCCTGCCCTGGCCCTGGACCCCCACTCGCCCCAGCCCTGGCCTTGGCCCCAGCCCTCCTCGCCCCGGACCCTTTTGATTTTCGTGGTTCCGTCCCCCTGGCTCTGGCCCCCCATCCCCTGGCCATCTCGCCCCCCCCTCGCCCCTCCTCCACGCGTGCCACTTTGATTATTTTGGGGGCATTCGCCCAAAATCTTCCTTTAAGGGGACAGGCTCGACCTAAGGGTAGGCAGACCATCGTTTGCATGTGCGGGGCCCCGGCCAGGCCGGCGGCGGCCAACCCCAGCCACGGTGCTGGGCTCGCCCGTCCGCCGCTTGGGCGGGCTCTTGCGCGGCGCGATGCCTCCACGCACCGACGTCCGAGAAACACACGGTCTTGGGGCGATATTGGGCGCTCTCGGGGGGCCCCTCTTGGACCCCTTTTCGGGCCCCCTTGGGCCGTATCGGAGCCTCTTCGAGGCCTCAAGATGTCATCGGAAGCGACGGGGCGAGAAAACACAGACGATGGATCCTTTGGTTTTTGTAGGATGATTTCGGCTTCTCGGGGGGGTCCCTGGGAGGCTCCGCGGCCGCTTGGAGCAGTCTTGGGACGTTCATGGCGCCTCTTGAAGGTATGTTGGAAGCTATATTGCGCCATCTTGGGCTATCTTGTGCGATATATATATATATATATATATATATATATATATATGTGTGTAGTTGGCTATCTGGTGCCCTCTTGAGGCCATCTTTGGCTTAGCAATTACCTCGAGACAATGTATGTGATCTGTTTGTTCCTTCGTGATTATATATATATATATAGTTTTATTCCCCCCTCTCTCTCTTTCTCTCTCCTTTGCTCTTCGTTGTTCTGCAGCTGCTCGGCCACGACGGTCGGTCGCGATTTTTGTTTAAGACCTGACGCTGCGCTTGGCCATGGCACTGGCGGATCACCCGGGAGGTGGCAGTTGCTTGTGGGATTGTTTGCCGTGAGTGGGGAGAGCCCTTTGGGGCCATATTGGGTCATCCTGGACACGCTAACCCCTCGCGAGACGTCCCCTCCAGAATCAGGTAGGGGCAGATACGATTGGAAGAACTAACTCATTGAAACACCTATGCCCAACGGGTTGGTGGAACTCGCCTTTTTGGCTCAGCCAGTACTGAACAATCTCCCTTGCCAGCCGTAACGCACCAGTGCTTCCAACGTGCACTTCCGATGATTATGTGGCCACTTCTGCTTATCAGCATGAGTACCACCATTCGAGGAACAAACAGCTGCAAAACATACACTTTCGTAACTCCGGGCGGATTTGTTGGATCGGCGCTGGACCCCCCCCCCTGGCGCGCGGAGCGCGCGAGTGGCCGCGCCGGAGGCGCCGCGCGGAGCTCTGAAAATGTATGTCTGGGTCGCTTTTTCTTCCTCGCGCCATGGCTGCTACCGAGCATGCTCCTCCCGTGGACACCTGTGCGCTGTCCATCTCTACCCGGGCGTCCTCCAGTGGCGCCGTTGAGCTGTCTCCGGACGGAGCTCGCACGCCGCACCCGGGCAGCGACGGCGGCTTTGTGCTGGCGATGCGGTTTGCCACCGCCAGTCAGTTCACCTTCTACAGCAGCTTCTGGACAGATGACGAGCTCGTGGATGAAGCCGACGCTGACCCTTCCAAGGATGCCGACGGCAAGTTCGATGCGTTTGTCTCTGCGCCCGCCACCGAAATCAGAGGGTGTCTCCCCGGGGGGTGCAAGACGTACAGTTTTGCTTCCATGGGGTTGGCCACCACCACGACTCTCAAGGATTTGTTCAAAAACACTCCCATCGGCTCATCGACGAATATTCGGTTCGGCGAGTCGACTGCTGACATCAGGCTGTGGGCTGAATACGCAGGCCGGAATGGATAGACGGAGACGACAGGTTGGATGGATTCAGGCATCAACTACGACGATGACGTGTCAGATTATGAGGCCAGAGTGCGATTCGGCGCTCTCTTCAACAACCAGGGCAGCATTAACACTGTCAACGATGCCATCGGCTGTAGGGACAAGGAAACTCTCCACCGCCGCCTTGGGGGAGGCTCAAGACTTGTTTGCCCAGGGTGCACGTGCAGATGCCCCCACTAGGCAGCCCAAAATGCGATGGGTTCAGATCCCAACCGGACGCGTGAGATCCCAACCGGACGGTTCAGATCCCAACCGTCTAAAACACCAGGCACGGTCAGATCCCAACCGAGGAGGAAGCGAATAAAGAAAACATATTGAAATAAATTGCGATGGACACCTTACAGGAGCAGATTTACGCCTGAGTTATTGCGGTTGGGATTTGGCGCGTCTTTTGCTGGATCGTAGTAGTGGTAGAAGTAGTAGTGGTAGTTGTAGTAGTAGTACCCGTAGTAGTAGTAGTAGTAGTAGTAGTAGTAGTAGTAGTAGTAGTAGAAGTAGTAGTAGTAGTAGTAGTAGTAGTAGTAGGAGTAGTAGTAGTAGTAGTAGTAGTAGTAGTAGTAGTAGTAGTAGTAGTAGTAGTAGTAGTAGTAGTAGTAGTAGTAGTAGTAGTAGTGTAGTAGTGTAGTTATTAGTAGTAGTAGTAGTAGTAGTAGTAGTAGTAGTAGTAGTAGTAGTAGTGTAGTAGTAGTAGTAGTAGTAGTAGTAGTCCGTAGTAGTAGTAGTAGTAGTAGTAGTAGTAGTAGTAGTTTAGTAGTAGTAGTAGTAGTGTCGCAGTATTGGTGGTAGTAGTAGTAGTAGTAGTAGTAGTAGTAGTAGTAGTGGTAGAGGTAGTAGTAGTAGTAGTCGTAGTAGCAGTAGCAGTAGCAGTAGCAGCAGTAGTAGTAGTAGTATTAGTAGTAGTGAAAGTATTAGCCGTAGTAGTAGTAGTAGTAGTAGTAGTAGTAGTCGTAGTAGTAGTAGTAGTAGTAGTAGTTGTTGTCGTTGTTGTAGTAGTACAAGTCGTAGTAAGTAGTAGTAGTAGTAGTAGTAGTAGTAGTAGTAGTAGTAGTAGTAGTAGTAGTAGTACTGGTAGTAGTAGTGGTAGTAGTAGTAGTAGTCGAAGTAGGAGTAGTAGTTAGTTGTAATAGTAGTAGTGGTAGTGAAAGTATTAGCCGTAGTAGTAGTAGTACTAGTAGTAGTAGTAGTGGTAGTAGTAGTAGTAGTAGTAGTAGTAGTAGTAGTGGCAGTAGTAGTAGTAGTAGCAGAAGTAGAAGTAGTGGCAGTAGTAGTAGTAGTCGTAGTGGTAGTTGTAGTAGTAGTAGCAATAGTAGCGGTAGTAGTAGTAGTAGTAGTCGTAGTAGTAGGAGTAGGAGTAGGAGTAGTGGTCGTAGTAGTAGTAGTAGTAGTACTACTACTACTACTACTAGTAGTAGTCGTCGTAGTCGTAGTACGAGTAGTAGTAGTAGTAGTAGTAGTAGTAGTAGTCATAGTAGTAGTAGTAGTTGTAGTAGTAGTACTAGTATGAATAATAGTAGTAGTAGTAGTAGCAGTAGTAGTAGTAGTAGTAGTAGTCGTAGTATTAGTAGTAGTCATCGTCGTAGCCGTAGTAGTCGTAGCAGCATTTAGTAATAGTAATAATACTAGGAATAGTAGCAGGAATAGTGGCAGGACTAGACATGAGAGTAATCGTAGTAGTAGTAGTAGTAGTAGTAGTAGTAGTAGTAGTCGTAGTCGTAGTAGTAGTCGTAGTAGTGGTCGTGATATTTGTAGTAGTAGTAGTAGTAGTAGGAGTAGTTTTAGTAGTAGTTGTAGTAGTAGTAGTAGTAGTAGTAGTAGTAGAAGTTGTCGTACTTGCAATACGTGTGCAGGGTGTAGTAGCATTAGTAGTGGTAGTGTCAGTACAAGTCGTAGTATGAGTAGTAGTATTTGTGGAGGGTATAGTATTACAAGTAGTAGTGGTTGTAATAGTAGTAGTGGTGGTAGTAGTAGTAGTAGTAGTAGTCGTAGTAGTAGTCGTAGTAGTAGTAGTAGTAGTAGTAGTAGTAGTAGTAGTCGTAGTGGTAGTTGTAGTAGTCGTAGTAGTAGTAGTCGTAGTAGTAGTAGTAGTAGTAGTAGTAGTAGTAGTAGTGATACTCGGAATCGTAGACGTAGTACGACTAGGATTCGTAATAGTAGTAGTAGTAGTAGTAGTAGTAGTAGTAGTAGTAGTAGTAGCAGCAGTAGTAGCAGAATCTCTCAGAATCTCTCAGAATCTCTCAGAATCTCTCAGAGGCAAGCAGTGGCTCTTAGAACCTTGCAGAAGCTTGGAGCTTTGCAATGGCTCCAAAGTGGTTGGGATCTCACGCGTCCCACGTGTCCTTGACGGTTGGGATCTGAACCGTCCGGTTGGGATCTCACGCGTCTGGTTGGGATCTGAACCTTTCTCAGCCCACAATGGCCTTCGCCGCCTCCTCCGCCACCCCTAACCCCATTCCACCTCCCCCCTCACTCCTGGCGGCGGTGGTGACCCTCCTGACTCCCAGGTTTTGGCGCCACGGAAGCGGACAATCACCACGTAGGCGCCGGAGCGGCGATCTGGCCATACAAAACGTTCCCGATGCAGGGCACGATCTGGGTCAAGGCAGATGGCTGGGCGGCGCCCAGCCCCACGCCCAGTCCCGCAGTGCAGGCGACCGGCGACCCGCACCTGGTCAACGTGCACGGACAGCGTTTCGACATCTACCGACCGGGCGCTCACGTCCTGCTCCACGTCCCCCGGGGCGCGGCGCCGGACACCACGTGGCTGCGCCTGGAGGCGGACGCCAGGCAGTTGGGTGCGGGGTGCGAGGAGCTGTACTTCCAGGCGATCACCGTGACGGGCGCGTGGGTCGAGCGGGCTCGCAACTTGACGGCCGATCTTGATGAGTTCGCACTGGGAGACCGCGGCGAACCCGCGCGCGGCCTCCAGTTTTTCGCGGAGTCGGCGGGCAAGCGGAGCAGCACTTCGTGGATAAATTTTGGCAAGGTGGGCCTCAAGGTGGTCTGGGGCCACACGGGCGGGGGCATCAAGTACCTCAACGTTCTCCTGAAGCACGTGGGCCAGGCGGGCGTGAAAGTCGGCGGGCTCCTCGGCGAGGACAACCTCGCTCCTTCAGCTCCTCCCTTTCCTCCCTTTCCTCCCACTCCTCCCCTTCCTCCATGGCGAGGACGACCATACGTGGGTGTCCACCCAGAACTCGGCGTGCAAGCACTTCGTGGGCTTCCGATCTCTCGGGGATCGTGGGCTAGCCCGACTGCGCGGGGCAGCAGACTAGCGTAGCGACCTGGTTCGGCGGCGCGGAGCGGCCGAGTGTCCAGCCTTCCAGGCAACCGGGCGCCCAATGGCGTGTCTACCACCCGGAGAAGAGGTTGCCTCCTGGGTTCGGTAGTCTCCGCACACTTTCGTCATGTTGGCGCGTGTTGGCTTATCGAGGGCGGTGCATCAACCAGCATGTCCTAAATTTGCCAAAAGCATTACAGATGCCGACATGGTGTCCGTATTCCCTGGTCACGTTGGCTGTGTCGGCGCGCGTTTTGCGTGTCCAGGGCGTTGCATCATGAGCTTTTGACTGATTTTGTGATGCACTGGCGCTTTCTGCGAAACAACAAGCACATCATGAACACAGGCTTTCTCTATGTCGTTTGCCTCTCACAGGCTGTTGGGGTGTCGTGGTCGTTCGAAACGGTGGGGGGGCCAGTTCCCAGATGTTTCTTCTTCCTGTCCAGCCCTCCCTCGGCAACAAGGGAGGGCAACTGAATGTCGCCATGCAGAGGTGTTCCGACACAGACGACAGGGCCTTCTCATCGCAGAAAGCTGTGGGGCGGGACTACCACTAGAGGCTATGATCTCCGTTGGTCTTCGTCTGTCCGGCGGGGGACAGGATGCACAACACCAGTGTACGTATGTTAAAGATAGATGTGTAATGTTGGCCAACGTGGACCCCAAACAGCGTTTTCTATATTCTATGTGGTGCAACCTACGTGGTGCACTCTATGTGATGTAATCTATGTGGTGCAATAAATACAGATCTATGGTGCACTGTAGGTGGTGCTATCTGTGTGGTGCAATTGAATGAGGGTTCCTCGCGCGTGGCCGCCTCCCATGCCCGCGCAAACTTTTCACCCGCCCACCCGCAACTTGGCTTGCAAACCCCATGCGGCGGCGATTGCGATGGCTGGTTGGCGCTGGCTGGTACATCGCCGCGGCCGCGCTAGCGCGCGCATGCTCGCGCGCAGAGCGGCCAGCCAGCTTGGCGCGACCGACTCGGCGGCGGTGTCGCTGACCGCTGACCGCTTCCAAGCGCGTCTCGCAGGCTCCGCTGACGCGCGGGCGCATCAGTGCAAGCCGGTGGCTCGGATTTGTTGCATGAGGTTCTTGCGACAGCGCGCGCATGGGCGTTCGAATGATTCCGGCATGCGCGCGCGAGGGGCATGTTCGGTCGTATTGGATCAGCATGTTGATACACCCGTAGTTTTTTAAGGTTGCGCCAGAGCGCGAGCGCAGACTTTTGTTGAACAGTTGTTGCACAGCCATTGTTTTTATTTATGTGTTTTCGGGACACTTGATTTCGACATTTTCACGAAATGTATGGTTTTTGATTGGTTTCGGGATGCACGCGCGACGACGCGCGCGCGCACTTCGTCCCATTGTTTACACGCGATTATACAAACGATTATTGTTGAAGAAGTGTGTGCGCATTGTTTTTTGTTGCAAGGGAGGAAGGGGGGGGGGCCGGTGCCGGTTTGCTTGGGGTCGTACGAGTTCACAGTTAGAATGAAAGATGGGGCGTATTCGTTTGTAAGTAACACATCCCAAGGGCGGGGGCGGAAAAGGGGGGGCGGATAAGTCCAGCGTCAGGAGGGTGGTTGATCCGACTTCTTCCGTAAAAAAGGAGAGCCTATGTGATGCAATTCGTTGTTGTTCACAGTGAGTTGGCTAGTCCATTGCTCGCACAACCATCCCA